GTTGGTACAGCTGTGGAAGTGGCGGACAGTCGTATCCAATGCCGAACTCATCGCTAATAAACTCTTCGCTCAATTGGTCCTCATTTTCAGTGAAGTTTTCGCTGACATATCGCACGAAATTCAGATACTCTTCGCTGTGAAAGGATCTCATCTGACAATCATTGGCTGCAATCGACTCTATGAGCCGACACTTCGACACCAAACCATAAGCTCTGATGAGTTCGTGGACCAGAAGAGCCTTCAAGTGAATCAAATGTAAGAGTGGATCACAAGTGGATCTCTTGGATCACATACCCGTCCCTTAACTTTAGGCAATCGATTGCAGTGTAAAAACAACTCTTTGCTGAATACATATCCCACTGTCCTCTTGGGATTAGCTATGGGTTGACAATCATCACAAACTTTGTCTATAATAGAGTCCAAAATGTTCAGAATTTGTTGATTCATATAATAGTCAAATGAATAGACAATGAAAGCAATTAACTGTAAGTTATTGTGTGTTAAATGAATGCAGTGTGCAGTGAGTAAACAATAAAGTGTTCAACTGTTTGTGAATGTACTGTAAAACACGTGAATCACGTGATAGACTAACCATTCAATCTGAATGGAAAGGCAATGAATTGAATGAACGATAGACTATTAGCTAAATAGTAAAAACTAATAGCTAAACATGTTTCCAATTGTATTTTCATATCATAGTAATAAATGATTACTGTTATATTCACTTATTATTTGTTATTTTACTAATTTATAATCGCATTATACTCTTGTGATAAATGTGGAAATATTTATAATAAAAATAAATACAAATTCTTATATTCATAAGAATGGAAAACTTTTTCATAGAGACCTAGATCAATTATAAATTTAGATAATACAGTATAACTATCAAAGGGTTTGATTTTCATTTAGAAAATAAATATAAAACAAATTTTGTAAATTAAAAACATGTTTTATATTAATTGAATAAAAAAATAAATGTTTATTTGGTAATTACCATTAATGTTAATGGTATTAATGGCATTAATGGTAATTAATATTCCTAATAATAGTATTATTTAATGCTTAATTTAAATAGATTTCCTACAAAATGGAAATTTTCTAATCAGTAAGATTTATTTCACAACTAAATTGTCTATTAAATTATGAATGCAATAGTTTTATTGACAACACTTAAATCTTATTTTTGTTTATTAATTTCGATGAAATTAAAAGTTCAAAGTTTTCAATCAATAGACTTTATTGAATTCATATTTTAGTGTTTTGACATAATTGTAGGTCAGAGCCAATGTGTAAAGTCTGGGTTCGTATCAAGTTTTTGGTAAACTTTGGATAGTTTTTGGTAAACTTTGGATACTTTTGAAACTTTGTTCCTTTGCCTCAATACTATAATATTTATGTTGACGTTTGGATCAATCAAATGAACAAAACTTTACTTTTACTACACGTGTCTTATCACCAAAACTAATGTTTTGGTAAATAATCAAAGTCTACCAAATCATGATTATTATGTATCCGTTGCATATAAATCCTTTATGCAATATATTGTGAAA